CCCCCCCACCCCCCGCCCCGGGTACCGGGAGTCGAACTCACGAGGTTGCGCTTGCCAGGCAGGCCCTGTGCCGCTGAGCTAAATCCCCAGCCACTCTCCTTTTTGTTTTGAGTCAGGGTCTGGCTGTGTAGTTCAGGCTGCCCTTGAACTTGCTTTGTAGCCCAAGCTGGCCTCGACCTCCTGGTGATCCTTCTGCCTCAGCTTACTAAGTGCTGGGAGTACAGGCATGTGCCACCACGCCCTGCTAGCCTTCCTCATCTTTAAAATGGGAATAAAAGGCGCTAAATTCACCAGCTCACTGTAAGAAATAAGATTCATGACACTCTTAAGACCATTATACTATACCTCTGGATGGATGTTTATTGCATTTCTTGCCTTTACTCTCTAGAAACTACCTACAACATTATTTTCTAAGAAAGTTTATTGTTTAAAAAAAAAACCGGGTGGAATCACTTTAGGAAAATACAAAAAAGCAAACTCAAAGGATTAAGAACGGCAGAAAAAGTAAACCCAACTAGACCAAGATGGGAGCGCAGTAACACTCGCGCAAAACGTGCAGAGTCCTCCCGGCCGCTCTACCGGCCACCGTACTCTTCCGGTCCCAGAAGCCCCGGCGGCGGAAGTCATCGCTCTTGGTCGGAGTCCTATGCCGCCCGTCCTGTGGGAGGCTCGCCATGGCGATGAGCAGCGGCGGCGATGGTGGCTGCGTCACGGAGCAGGAAAACTCGGTGCTGTTTCGGCGCGGTACAGGCCAGGTGAGCTTGTGGGCCGCGAACAATCTGTATGGGCGCCCAGTGCGCGCTGCTGGCGCTGGCGGTGTGCTTGGACCTGACCGGCTCGCTCACTGTGGGGCCGTCGTCCACATGTTCGGTCCTCTTTTTCCGCTCCCCTGGCTGGGATTCCCTCCTCGCAAGCTCCTACCTCCCGCAGCTTGGGCGCTTTGAGGGCTTTAGTCGACACCCTACCGCAGTTTGATTTGACCGCTTCTCCTGACCGAGGAGTTGCTGGGCAGGGTGAGAGAGAAGCTGGGAAACCCGCGGAAGTCTGTTGAAGTGATCAGACTTAAATAAAATGTCAGTGGACTCAGGCTCCCGTGTTTGGATATACTGGATATACGCAGTGATCGAGGTGGATCCGAACAAGGAGGTTTCAGAGAAGTGACAAGGATAACTCAGGGGTTTTCCAGAACAGTTGAACAGATGAAGTTGTTTTTTACTGTGATGTACTGAAGTGGGGGAGAAGGAAGACGGAAAGTACAACCGGAGCTCAATCTTGAGCGTATGGGGGTGAGATCTGTTTAGATAGAAGCTGTGCGTGGTGGCATATCCCTGTAATCCCAGCACTCTGGGAAGCTGAGGCAGGAGGATCTCAAATTGGAACCTACCTTGGGCAATTTGCCCTCCTACTAAGATCCTCTCTTAGAAGAAAAGAAAAAGGCTGGTGATGTAACTCAGTGTGAAGGCCGTTTGTTCAATCCTAATAGAGAAAAAAATTAGCAAGTGGAAGAAGAGTTTTTAGGTCAACTTTTTTTTGCTGGGGGTGGTTTCCGGTCCCGGGAATGGAACTCACGACCTTGCGCTTGCCAGGCAGGCACTGTGCCGTTGAGCTAAATCCCCAGCCCTAGGGCAACATTTGTGAACAACCATTTCAGGTATTTTGTTGTAAATAGAACCTGGAGAAATTAGGCATGAGATGGAGGGGAAGTGAAATAAAGAAGATTTTAAGTTGTGTTTATTTAGGGTATTTGGGATTGAACCCAGGGAATACTGATCTACATTCTCAGCCTTTTTAAATTTTCATTTTGAGACAGGATCTCCATCAATTGCCCAAACTGAGCCGGGAACTGTGACCCTTCTGCCTCGGCCTCCAGAGTAGGTGGGAGTGCAGATATGCACCACCATGGCCAGCTATTACTAGAGTGTATAACATGTAGGGGAAAATGCTGTTACTTTTTCATTTTCCTTGGGTAAATGCCTAGGTCATGAGGTTAGTATATTTTAAGTCTATTTATTTTGCAGTACTAGAATTTGAATTCAGAGCCTTTGCACTAAACTACATCCCCAACCTTTTTTATTTTTTAACAGTGTCCGCTGTGTAATTCATGGTGCCCTTGAACTCAACTATGTGCTGGGACTACGAGAGTGTATTACCATGGCCAGCTATATTTTAAGTCTTTTTTTTTTCTTTTTTTTTTTGGTATCAGGAATTCAACTCAGGACCTTGTGCTTGCCAGGCAGGTGCCTGTGCCACTGAGTTATATTCTCAGCTATATTTTAAGTCTTTAAGAAGCTGCCAAATCCTTCTAAATGGGTGTACCATTTTACATTCTGTCCAGCAGTGTATGAAAGTTCCTTTTATTTTTTATTTTTTGAAATTTCCTTTTACTTGATGTCCTTGCAAACATTTGATACTCTCAGTCTTATTAATTTTAGAGTTGTAGGTGTGTAGTTTTAATTAGCATTTCCCTAATGACTAATGATATTGATCACTGATTATCATGCTTATTTACTATGCATACATATTCTTTGGTAAAGGATTTCTTCAAGTTATTTGTGTGTGTCCTCCCCCTGCCGCCCCCTTTTTGGGACAGTCTTGCAGTATAGTTCAGGCTGACCTTGAATTCACTGCGTAGCCCAGGCTGGCCTCAAACTTATAGTGATCCTCCTCCTTCAGCCTCCTGAGTGCTAGGATTCAGGCATGTACCCATCACACCCAGCTACCCTTTTTTAAATTAGGGGGGACCGGGGATATAGCTCAGCAGCACAAGTGCCTGCCTGGCAAGCGCAAGGTCCTGAGTTCAATTCCTGGTACCTGCCTCCCCAAAAAAGAGGTGGAATGCCTTTTTTAAATTGGGTTTTGTTTCTGTTGAGATTTGGAAGTTCTTCAGGTATGTTTAGTTATGCCAAATTAAGATGGCTCTTGGTACTGTCCAGTACATTTTCAATGAAACCTATCTAAATATGAATTGTTTCTATTCCTTTCTCTTCCCAGAGTGATGATTCTGACATTTGGGATGATACAGCATTGATAAAAGCCTATGATAAAGCTGTGGCTTCTTTTAAGGTATGACCTGTTTACTCTGTGTATGCATGGGGGTGGGTGGGAAGAACTGGGAATTGAAGCCAGGGCCTTTGGACTGAGCTGCTTCCCAACGTTTTTCTTTTCTTTAATTTTGAGACAGGGCCTCACTAAGTTGCTAAGATGCCTAGGCTAAGCTCAAACTTGAGCTCCTCCTCACTTAACTTCCCAGAGTGCTGGAATTGCAAGTGTGCACCTTAACAGCTTGCTGAAATGTTTACTCTTTATCTTATTTCCACACCTTATTTATTGAGGAAAAAGTTGGTAACATACAGATGATAAAGTATTGCTGTATATATTACTTAGTTTTCATTTTGAAGTTTTTTTTTTTTTTTTTTTTTTTTTTTTTTTTTTTTTTTTTTGTTTTTTTGTCTTTGTGAAACAGGGTCTCGCTATGCAATTCAGACTGGCCTTGAGCTCACTTTGTAGCCCAGGCTGGCCTCGAACTCACAGCAGTCCTCCTGCCTCAGCCTCTGAGTGCTGGGATTATAGGTGTGTGCCACCACGCCCAGCACATTTTGAAGTTTAAATGATAATATGGGTTAGTTACAGTAGGTGATTTTTTTCTGTAAGAAGTTGACAGTTTATTTGCATGTCATCTCTCTGTTATTTTTTCTTGAGACACGTTCTCACTATGTAGTTCAGGCTGGCATTGGGCTTACTATGTTGCTCAGGCTGGCCTGGAACTCACAGCAACCGTCCTGCCTCAGCCTTCCAAGTTCTGGGGCAATAGGCATGTGCTGCCTCCTCCAGCTGCATGTCATCTCTTTGACAAAGACAATTTAAAATTGTAAGCATTTATTCCTTTTAATATACAGGAAAAGGACAGCCTGATTTTATTTTATTTTATTATTTTTATTATTATTTTTTTGAGACAGGCCTGCTAGAGTTATAGGCATGTGCTCTCATGCCTGGTGATGTTTTGTTTTTGTTATTTTCTTTTTCTAGTGCTAGGGACTAAGCCCCAGGTCTGACATATGCTAATCAAAATCACAGAGCTATGTTCCCCCAGTTCATTTAGTCATTCCAAATGTTGAGTTGATTGTCAAGAACAGCAAGAGTAGGATTTTACACTTTTAGGATGTGTATTGATTCCGTGACACATACACAGTTGTCCAGCATCCGTTTCCAAAAAGTCTGGGACACTCAGTGTTACTGAGTACCAGGTGTGACTCATCAGTTGTCCAGGCGGTACCAGATGAGTGCACAAGGCACACACTGACACAGAACACCAGCTGTACAACATCCAGTCGCTTCCCACAGTCACTCTTGTAGCCTGAGATCAGAACAGCATCTTTGCATCTGTATTCTGAAGTTTTTACTATGCTTTCCACTATGTGCTAGACGTTGACTAAGGAAGTATTACCAAGAGTGTTCTCTATCCACAGATTGGAAGAGGGCTAGGTGTGGAAAGGAGTCAGTGATGCTGAGGAGGAAGTAGTCCTGGTGGCACACACCTGTAATCCCAGCACTTTGGAGGCTGAGTCAGGGGGATCATTGCAAGTTTGAGGCCAGTCTCAGCTATAAAGTGAGCTTGAGGCCAGCCTGAATGGCATAGCAAGACCCTGTCTCAAAAAGACAAAAAAAGGACAGTAGAGTTTGGGGAAAAGATTGTTCACTTTTTTATGTATGAAGATGTGAATTTGGTAATCGGAAATGTTGGGTCAAACTAAGGAGAAAAATCTCTGTTTTTGTAGAGGTTAACAACAGAAATCATAGGAATAAATTGCGTTAAGCAGGTAAAAGAAGGCTGACCAACTCTTGCTGTGGGTGCATACTTGTATGACTTTATCAGAGAGGTCATAGGAGCATCAGGGCCTTACATTTCTGTTATCCAAGGCGTGCTGAATATCAAAGAGAAAGAGGTAGCTGGGCAGGGTGGCACACGTCTATAAAGCCAGCACTGTGGGAGGCCGAGGCAGGAAGATTACAAGTTCAAGCCCAGCCTGGGCAGTGTGCCACTTAAGGGGACCCCAAGGAGGAGGTGGTTGAAAGGGATGGAGGGGGAGATGAATAGGAACTGCTGTGACAGTGGGGTTGAGAGTGCAGACCTGACTGGAAAGGTCTTTGGAGCCAATAACCCAACATGTAATGCCCCCAGGAGCGGTTGCTGTGAAGTGCAGTGGCCAAGAAAGGAAGCAGAGGCTTTCCGAGCTGGCGAGGCCTTAGGGTCAGCTTATATAGGAAGGGGGTTCTGCTTTGACTTTTAAAAATGTGTCATTCTGTGACATGTACATTTCTGTTCCTATCTACATAGCACGCTCTCAAGAACGGTGATGTTTCAGATAAACCACAAGGTGAAGCCTCAGGCAAACCTAAAGGCACAGCCAGAAGAAAGCCTGTGAAGAAGAGTAAAAGCCAGAAGAAGAGTACCATGGCTCCCTCAAAACAGGTTCGTGTAAAATCCTGGGATTTACCCTCAAAGCACGGGTTACTGTCCTTACCAAATAGTTGTCACCTGTCTTTCCCTTGAGCTGTCTCTACAGTGAGTACAGTGTGATTGATGCATAATCATAGAGCATACACAGCAGCTCCCAAGCCTGCTGCTGTCCAGAGCATGGTGTTGTTAACGGAAGTGTGAGAGGTCGGGCAGGATGAGGCGTGCAGGCCTTGTGGGGCGGAGGAGGAGACGACAGTGCTATGTGAGGCGAACCTGAATGTCTCGAGCTGCAGCAGCAGTGTTTTGCGGCTCACGCTGAGAGGGCTGTCTTTGTTTTCTTCTTGTTCTTCAACAGCCCTAAAACTGTCAGTTCCACAGTGCCAAAAATGTGGGTAGTTACTTTTGTTAGTTCAGCGCAGTAAGCTGGAAGCTCGGTATTTTGATGTGTAAGTGTCCGTGTTAGCTCCGTCGTCAATGGAGGGGAAGAGAGTGAGCCCTGGATGAGCAGCTGCAGACCCGAGTGCCGGACACCGGCTTCCTCTGTCCTTCCTGCTCTCCACAGTGATGTGGAAGGCGGATGGGGAGAGGAGGCCCCGGGTGGCTGAGGGCCTTGTCTGAGTTTGTACACATGGCAGAGTTGGAACACAGATCCGTCTGGTTTGGCCCATGCCTCCTCCCCATACCACTCTGCCTTCCGCGTCCGTCTCCAGGGACTTGTCTGTGCTGTGCCCTCATCCAAGTGTGTCATAGTCTGCGCCATGTGTTTACGTGTCCGTGGTTTCTCTCGTAGTGGAAAGTGGGTGACAAGTGTTCTGCCGTTTGGTCAGAAGATGGCTGCGTTTACCCAGCTACCATCGCTTCCATTGATTCGAAGAGGGAAACCTGTGTCGTGCTCTACACTGGCTATGGAAACAGAGAGGAGCAGAATCTGTCTGATCTGCTTTCCCCAAGCTCGGAAGCAGCTAGCACCGTGGAACAGAATGCGCAGGAGGTAAAGGCAGAGAGTGTCTCATTCCTAGAAGCAGAGGCTGGATGAGAAACTGCGCAGTGTAACTCGGTGTCTGTTTGATACGGACGTATTCAACCCTTTTTAACACCTTTGAGAGCAAAAATGTGTTTTGTTTTGTTTTTTAAAGAATGAAAATGAAAGTCAAGTTTCAACGGATGAAAGTGAGAACTCTTCCAAGTCTCCAGGAAGTAAACCAGGCACAGTCAGGTCGAAAGCCATGCCCTGGAGCTCCTTTTTCCCTCCACCGCCCCCAGTGCCTGGCTCGGGGTCAGGACCTGGAAAGGTAAACTCCCCAGAGAAGGTTCCAGGAAATAATTAATACTTGGGCTCTGGGGGATGTGACTTGCCTGTGAAATTTGTAGTTCTTTTTAATTCTGTCTTGTGTTTTTTCGGGGGTCATTTTTGAGGTGGGAGTCTTACATTGCCCAGGATGGCCTCAAATGCTGGATCCCCTGCCTCAGCCTTCCAAGAAGCTGGTATTCCTGGCTTGAGAAGCCTTTCAAAAGGAAATAAGATAGCGATGCAAATTGGTTTACACTGAAAGACTTAGAGAACTTATAATACTTTTGTATCAGCTGGATGATAAAATATGTAAAAAAAAAAAAGTGGCCGGGCGTGGTGGCGCATGCCTATAATCCTAGCACTAGGGAGGCTGAGGCAGTAGGATCGTTGTGAGTTCGAGACTAGCCTGGGATACAAAGTGAGCTAAAGGCCAGCCTGAACTGCACAGTGAGACCCTGTCTCAAAAAAGAAAACAAACAAACAAAAAAGTGTTTAACGTGGATAAAATTCAAAGGTGTCTCAGATTGTTTCCTAGAGTTAAGATGTAGATTCATATATCGCTTTATTGGTTATAAATTACAAAAATCAACTTTTAAAAACAATTTTATTATAGGCTAAATAAGTCTAGAGCCAAAGGGTAGGTCCCTATCCAGTTCTTCTGTGTGATGCAATAATTTCTTCCCTGGGGGCCTGGTAGTCATATAAGTTCTAATAATCAAGCGTGACTCCTTCAAGCTTTTCCTTAAGAGTTTCTGGGATCACTTTCTTTTTTGTTTTGTCTTTTTGAGACAGGGTCTTGCTATATAGTTCAGGCTGGCTTTGAGTTTACTTTGTAGCCCAGGCTGGTCTCAAACTTGCAACAATCCTCCTGCCTCAGCCTCCTGAGAGCTGGGATTACAGGCATGTGCCACCATGCCTGGCTGTGATCACTTTCTTATTGAGGGTTACATTCCTGAAGCTCTTCTGCACTGTGATTCATTGATGTGGCTGGCTTTCATCAGATGAGAGGGTTGCTAGTTTTCATGACCTGTGCTCCAGGTGAATGTATGAAACTCCCAGGGCACCCATGGAAAGGTTGCGCTGTGTAGTGGGTGCAAGTGAGGAGAAGAATGCGCTTCTGTGACCATGACCAAAAGATACTACTAAACACACCCTTCCAACTTACGGAGAGGTGCTAGGGAGGGAAACCAGGGCCGTGTGCCTGCTGGGCAAGCAGTGTGCCATGGGGCTGCACTGTCAACCTCAAAATCTATCGTACCTTGAGTTTACTTCCGCAACATATATATGTGAAGGAAATGGGAGAAATCTAGACATGATCATTTGACTTACGCATCTGCTTGACTTGAGGGTTTGGTACATGAAATTCCATTTAATCATTTTAATATGTATAGTACAGATGTTATTCTGGTAATTATTTTTCTTGGTTTTGGATCCTTTTTCTTCCATCAAAATCAGTAAATTTTCCTTTGAAATATTCTTTATAGCCAGGTCTAAAATTCAGTGGCCCACCCCCACCTCCACCACACTTCCTGTCATGCTGGCTGCCTCCACTTCCGGCTGGACCACCCGTAAGTGCAGAATTCAGGGGAAACTGCTTTTGTATTGAGTTTGGTATTTAGCAGAGACCGTGCCCAGGTTCAGACTCTAATGGATGAAAATTTAAACTAAATGTCACTGTTTCGTTTATTGTTTTTGATTTGGGTTTTGGGTTTTTGCAGGGGTCAGGGGAACAGGATCTTGCTTGTGTAGCTCAGGCTGGCCTTGAACTCACTGTGTAGTAGTCTCCCTGCCTCAGCTTCCCACGTGCTGGGGTTACAGGTGTGCAGCACCGCAGCAGGCAGGCTTTTTGTTTTGTATGTCCTTTTGTTAGCCAGAGTAGTCTTTTAACCCCATCCCTGAGCTCAGTGTCCTTTCCCGGCAGAAGCTGCATCTGTTCTATGGGAAGGTAGCTCCTAGTAGAAGGGTGTAATTATACCAAATAGAAGGGTCCATGTTTTGCCCTCCAGAGAGTGCTTCGACATCAGCTTCTGCTGTGTATTTCTGCTGGTAAAGTTTTAGGCATAAACAGTAGATACCAAGACACTTTCTGGCAGACTACATGTTTATGGGAGTAGAGCAGGTTTCTACCTGAGACCTTTACTTGCAGTGGCCCTTGAAGTGCTGTGTGAATGGTGGTGCATGTGTGTTTGGAAGAAACACAGATGTTTATGCTTGGTCTTTTACTTGTGGTTTAATAATAGGACAAAATCCAATCAAATTAAAATAGTTATATTTTATGTCAACTATTATGTTTTGATCCTTGTTAAATTTAGTTTTGTTGGCATTGTTGTTGGCTTTCTCCACATGTTAGAAATCAGGTGTGTCTAACTTATGGCCCTGGTCAGCTAGTAATGTGGCCCCACAAGGTCATAATATTTTTATGTGTTTTTGAGACAGGATCTTACTCTGCAATTCAGGCTGGTCTTGAACTCACTATCTAGCCCACTCACCTCAGACTCACAGCAATCCTCCTGCCTCAGCCTCCCGAGTGCTGGGATTATAGACATGTGCCACCAGTCCTGGCTGATCATAAATTTGTATTGTGGTTTTTGTTCAGCAGTGTCGTGCATGACACAGCTGCAGTGCTCAAGTGTAGGTGACAGTGGAGAGCTACATAGGGAGGGCACAGTATTGGCTGCCTCCAGCACCTGCCACACGGTCAGTTGAATCAGAAATCTTTCTTTAATGTTTTAAAAATATTTTTTAGAAGGAAGTTGTGTTAGTTGTATGCGTTAGCTATCTTATACATTTCATATGTGGCCGGAGACAATGCCTCTTCACTCAGTGTGGCCCAAGCAAAGGCAAAAGGTTGAATACTCACGTTAGTTGGTTTTTATTGAAATAAGAGGTGTCATAGCACAGAGGAAAAATACAATTAATACTGGCAGTCTCTATGTAAAATAAATCTCCAGATTTACTGGATTTAAAGTAGACCCTTTTTTGCTAGATGTGGTGGTGCACACCTATAATCCCAGCACTTGGGAAGCTGAGGCAGGAGGATCACCGGGAGTTCAGCACTAGCCCAAACTAAAGTGAGACTCTGTCCCCAAAAAACCAAACCAAACCAAACCCAAAAGATAAGTATGTCCTCTTTCTATTGCAGGTGATCCCCCCGCCGCCTCCCATCTGTCCAGACTCGTTCGATGACGCAGACGCGCTGGGCAGCATGCTGATGTCGTGGTACATGAGTGGCTATCACACTGGCTACTACATGGTGAGTAACCACCAAGCCTTCTCCTGGTCTCCTGGTGAGTTCTTTGTAGTCGTGAGCCTTTTCTGTTCTGTAACTAAAACGTAGTTGGCTGTGTAGATCCTGAGGCTGAAAATACATTGACGTTTTAAAAATACATCAAGCCAGATGTGGTGGCACACACCTGTAGTCCCAGTTTTTCCAGAGGCTGAAGCAGGAGGATCACTTGAGCGTGTTAGTTCTATACCAGCTCAGGCAACATACTGAGACCTCATCTCAGGAAAGAAGCAACTGTATGCCTAAGGCTAAAGTTCCTCTTGCATTGTCCCTGTTGAGTGTAGTTTAGTTCCTTTTAAAAACCTTTAAAATATTTTTTTTTTCAAGACAGTTGTGTTGGCCTGGGATCCCAGCATTTGGAAGGCTGAGGCAAGAGAATCATTATGAGTCTGGGGCCAGCTTTAGTGAGACTCTCTCTCAAAAACAAACAAAAAAAATTATAAAGTGTATATGTTAAGTATATGTAGTTCACTGTATGTCAGTAATTTCTTGATAAAGTTACATAAACTGAATAAAGACAAAACGTTGCCTCCTCTCAGTTCTGGCTCAGGTGGGCCCTGTGTGCGTTGAGAGTGGGCTGTGACCTGATTAGCTCAGAGCTTTGGTTCAGGGGCTTTGGAAGGTTTTTTGTTTTTTTTTTTATCTTTTTGAGACAGGGTCTCACTATGCAGGTCAGGCTAGCCTTGAGCTCACTTTGTAGCCCAGAGTGGTCTCAGACTCCCGGCAATCCTCCTGCCTCAGCCTCCCCAGCAGTGCTGGGATTATAGGCATGCACCACCACGCCCAACCTGCTGATTATACTTTTTTCTTTAGTGGCACTGGCAATCGAATCAAAGGCCTTTGCACTGAGCTCCAGCTCCAGCTCTCCTTTAATATTTTATTTGAGACTGGATCTTGCTAAGTTGCCCAGGCAGGGTTCATATATGATCCTTCTGCCTCCTCATCCCAGGATTCTGGGATTACAGGCATGTGTGCATCACTACCCCTGGCTTGATTATACATCGTTTAGTTTAAGTGATTCCCAGTTATTTTTGTTTATCTGTTTGTTTTTGAGACAGTCTTGCTGTGTAGCTTATGCTGGCCTGGAACTCACTGTGTAGCTCAGGCTGGCTTCAAGCTTGCGATGTAATCCTCCTGCCTCAGCCTCCTGAGAGCTGGGATTACAGGCATGTGCCCCCACACCTGGCTCAATTATTTTTTATTTCAGTAGTTTTCCTGCTTTGATTTGGGATAAATGAATTGTAGGAGATGAGAAAAGAGTTCTTACTGTTGCTGTAGTTGTTGTTTTTATTGCATTTATGTAGCCCAGGCTGGCCTTGAACTCACAGTGACCCTCTTGCCTCAACTTCCCCGAGTACCGGGATAACACTGTTGTTTTGATTTGTTGGTTTTTGAGATGAGGGCTTACTCTTTTACCCAGCCTGACCTTAAAATCCTAGGCTTAAGTAATCCTGCCTCAGCCTCCTTAGTAGCTAGGACTGTATATTCATAGCACCACACCTGGTCATTTTTAGACTTTCACAGATTGAATCATGTGAATATAGCCCTAGTGGCTAGTGTTTTTTGTTGTTGTTTTTGGGTTTTTTGAGGCAGGTCTCACTATGTAGTTCAAGCTGACCTTGAACTCTGTAGCCCAAGCTAACCTTAAACCGCTATGATCCTCCTGCCTCAGCCTGCCAAGTTTTGGAATTACAGGTGTGTACCACCAACATAGTTTAAACCACACTAGAAGGCTATAAGTTCACTTATTGATAATATTTCGTTAAGTAGAACTAGTAAAATGTTGTACATGAAACAATGTTTATTACCATGTATATAAAATGGGTAGCCGTAGAACCAGGGCTATAGCTCAGTGGCGCAGTGCCTGCCTGGCAAGCTTGAGGCCCTGAGTTCGATTGCTGGTACCAAAAAAGGGAAAAAATGGGTATCCTAATTTTTAACATTTATTATGCTACTTTTTAAAATATTAGATTATAAAACAGGGAACTGAACATTCTGTGATTTACTGTTTTTCATTTTTTTGTTTTTGTTCTTCATTTTGATTTTCTTTTTTTAAAATTTTCTTTTCTTTTCTTTTCTGTCTTTTTGAGACAGGGTCTCTCTGTGCTGTTCAGGCTGGCCTTGAGCTCACTTTGTAGCCCAGGCTGGCCTTGAACTCACAATGATCCTCCTGCCTCAGCCTCCCGAGTGCTGGGATTACAGGCATGTGCTACCAGGCCTGGCTAAAATTTTATTTTCACACATATGTGTAATGTATTTTGGTCACATCATTCCCTCTTGCTCTCCCCCGCCCCGCCCCACCCCGCCCCATCAGACAGCTGCGCCCTTTCTGCTTGGTGCTGCCTTTGCGTGCATGAGAAGGGAGACACCCTTCTCTTCTCTGCGACTGGCTTGTTTTGTTTAACGACATCCAGGGCCATCCATAACTTTGTTGTTCTTTCTGGCTCAAGAGTCCCCACTGTCACCTGCTCTGCTTTCTCTAGCTGCCCCTCCACTGATGGGCATCTCAGCTGCTTCCACCCTTAGCTCTTACAGATTGTGCCGTGGTGAGCATATGTGCACAGGCTGCCACTAGTGTGCTGTCTTTAATTCCGTAGGGTACCTACCTTTCCTAGCTCTGTTTGCTGAAGAGGCTTTTTTGTGCTTTTGGCCCGTTCATCAAGAGTCAGATGACTGTGGTGGTGTGGATTTGTCTCTGTGTCCTCCCTCCTACTCTGTTGGTCTCCATGTCTGTCTTTGGCTGTACTGTGCTGTTTTGTGGCTGTGGCTGTGGCTTTGTCAGATAGTTTGAAATTGGGTGTTGTGAAGCCTCCAGCCTTGCTGTTTTTGCTCTGGGGTGCTTTGGATATTCTGGCTGTTTGCTCTTCTTTTAACTACTTATTTTGCTTTCTTTACAGGGTTTCAGACAAAATCAAAAAGAAGGGAGGGGCTCACATTTCAATTGAGTAAGTCTGCCATCATTGTAAGTGAATCTTTGTATAAATTTTATGATTTTAGCCAGGCGTGTTAGTGCACACCTCTAATCCCAGCACTCGGGAGGCTGAGGCAGGAGGATTGTGGCGAGTTTGAGCCTAGCCTAGGCTACGTAGTGAGTTCAAGGCCAATTTGAACTATATCTCAACACCCTGTCTTAAAAAATTATGTATGGTTCGTAGAAAATAAATGTTTTTGAGCATTTGAAAGTTGAAATATTAAAATTTGAAAAATTAATATAAAGCCTTATTAAAGACTTTTTGGTGCCAGAATATTAGATAAAAAGTTGATGTATATCCCCACTGGGATTCTCTTGATATCAGAACATTGTCTCACCGAGTACTTGCTGATGTGGGAAAACACACTTTTTACAAAAAGGCTCTGATGGCACTGAACAACACACAGACAACCAGGCACACTTACTCGTGGTGCAGTTTGAAGTGTGCTGCATTGCGGCTGAAGTGTGCTTGTCAGGAAGTTCTAACCGGGCGGTACTCCAGCCCCGAGAGCTAATTTCCCTTTGCAGGAAGCACTGGGATAGAGCAACAAGTGAGATGATGCTGCTCAGGAGAGGCTCAGACAGGTGCAGACTGAATTGCTGTAGAAGAGAAGTGGCTTACCCTCCCCCAGACACCGCTGTCGGGAATGAATAAAGGGGGCGGGGTGGGTAACTATCCAGACCAAAAGTGAAGAGCCATTGTAGCCCAGTTCAGTGTGGGATCTTTATTTATTCATTCATTTATTTATTTATTTTTGTTGTTTTGTTTTTGCGGTGCCAGAAATCAACCCAGGGCCTTGCACTACCTAAGCACGAGCTCTGTCGCTGACCTACATCCCCGCTCCCAAGCACCCCTGCTGCCAGTGTGGGGTCCTTGATTGGACTCAGCCATCTGTAAAAGCCTTGGGGTGGGGACTGAGGGAATCTGGACACAGTTCTAATGTAGACTGGATTTTCAATGTTAGACTATTCTTCCTCACTTTATGAGCTGTGATAAAGTTGTTGCCATGTATAGAATTCAGGAGTGAAATGTTACTGTCTCTAAACATATTGAAATGGCTTAGCAAAGTATGTGTACATGTGAGGCATAGATGGCAAGATGCCAACCAGGCTGACTGGTGTGTACATGGGTATTTGATGTAGTTTTTTCTATTTTTTGTAAGTTTAAAAATGCATAATAAATTTTTAATTTTTAAAAATCGTTAAAATCAGCCCTATGTATGTCATTATGTTCCCTTTTTGCATATTATTTTACACTTGGTTCGTGGTGCTTTGTGTTACTGGGATGAGCTAGAACCCGGTGTGCGCGAGGCAAGCATACCCCTGGGCCGCAACCCGGCCCCATCCACGTCTTGAAATGATGCCATTGTCGCACTTTGCATGTAGTACATGTTCTCACTGGAACCCCTTTTTTTTTTTTTTTTTTTTTTAATATTCTTTCTGCCAGGTTAATTGTCTACAGAACAGACTGTTACCCTTTAGTGCAGTAGTTTTTGCCATTCTGAATAACATTTTAAATCTTCAGATATGTACTAATTTGATTCTCTTTTGTCAGTCTTAGGAGAAATTTCTGTATTGTGACCATTTGTTAAGAGATTATGGATGTTACGATTCTTCATGGATATTTCTTTGGGGAGGGGTTTTTTATTAAGTTTATTGGTACAATTTAGATATATATATCGATCACATTTCATGGATATTTCAGTTCCTTTGAAAAGCTTTTGAGACAGAGTCTTGCCCTGTAGCCCAGGCTGGCCTCAAACTCACCAACCCCTGCCTCAGCCTCCTGAGTGCTGAGATTACAGGAGTGCACCAACATACCTGGCTGGAAATTAAATGTTTGGAAATCAGATTTTACTCTCCATTTTCATAATGGAAGGTTTAGTTCTAGGAAGACTGTGTTTATTTTTCAATTTTATTTTGTTTTCTGTTGATCTTTGTGTTTCTTAAGGTAGGTAGCTTTGTCACTAGTATTGAGGCTTCCCTAGAAAAGGAAGAGTATTTAAAATTACATAATTCATCACATTTTAAAGCATATCCCCAGCACCACACCAAAACCAACTTTTAAATGTAATTACCTGTATTTCACCTTCAGTTAAAGTTCTTTACTTGGTTATTCAGCCAAATATGAAGGAATAAATAGAAAAAAACTACACAGAGACTGAAGTGAGTTAGACTATTCCAGGTACCCTGTGCTTTAGGGTTTAGTAGATTTGGCTTTTTATTAAGAAGCTAGAAACTGCCACATGGACGTTTTCTGCCCTTTCTAAGTAAGCCTGGCAGCCTTGTGAGTGGTTTCTGTATGGCAGGCGTGTTATTTCATTTAACCGCTCAGCATCCGCTAGACTGCAGTGCCCCCTCTTGCAGACGGGGAAGCAGGCTCCTGCCCTGGGCCTCACAGTACAGCCAAGAGCTGTCTCCGGCCGGCTCCCCAGCAGTTGCTCTTGCACATCTGCAAACTAGGACTCGGGTGCGGACCTACCTGGGATTCCTACAGGTTTCTGCTCCTTCTCAAGTCAGCCTCTGTTCTCTGCCTGCTCAGGCTCCAGCACCTCCCCTGAGGCCTGAGGAGCAGCCGGCCACTTGGGCTGGGGAACTGGCTGCCTCCTTGGTTGCTCCATGCCACAGGCCAGAAGCCACGCCAGCCAGGAGGGCTTGGAAACTCCTGTCCTGGGCCGGCGCCTACCCAGTGCCTGCAAACAGTCACATCGCAGATTTGCCGTTTTGCATCTGCAACAGGACAACAGGAAAATGCGTCCAGTTGCGGTTCTTACCCGTTTTCTAAAAGCTAGTTGGTTTTAACATGTTTCATCGCTTCATGAATGCTTGGCTGGATGACCCAGTTCGCTGGATCATTTTTCCGTTTGTCTTGCTTGTTTTTTGTGGTGTTGGGGATTGAACTCAGAGCTATGTCCCTGGCCCTTTTTTATTTTTTATTTTGAGGCCGAGTCTTGCTGCATTGCCAGGGATAAGTTGCCTTGCTGAGCTGAAGTTGAGATCTCGTGCTTTAGCCTCTCAGAGTCTTGAGGTGACAGGCATGCACAATGGCCTGCCACCGTCCCCGTTTTAGAACAGCGTTCTGTCCCTTCTGGGCAGTGCTGGGAGACCCTGACGCAGGCCACACTAGTGCTCCACCGCTGAGCTCCCTCCCCCGTCCCCGCCCCTCCCCCAACAATTCTTCCATCGTCACATTTTCTGGGTAATTAGTCCTAGTGGTCAGAAGAAAGTATATTAAGCAGTGCTACTGTCTATGTCGCAGATGCAAGCTGGTGTTGTGGACACATTTTTCTACATGGACATAAGTCTGTTTTGGGTCCTGCTTAGAAGTTTCATGGGAATAATTTTGTAGATTGACAATTAATTTTGTATCCTGGTTCCTAGATTCTAAGTAGTTCTGTTTGTCATCACATATCACCACCTTGCTTCCTAGAAAAAGGAATAAACCAGTTAACAAAGCCTACTTCTTGCAGGCCCAGCTAATTATTACAGTGTCTGCTGGTGGTATTTTAACCACTTAGCAATTATTTAAATACAGGATGACCAGAAATTGCATATTTTTCCTTAAGTTTTCTAAGATACTATAACAGGGAATGTAAAGACAACAGTTTTATCAATACAAGAATCGACTGGTTGCCCGGCATAGTGGCACATGCCTGCAATCTCAGCACTCAGGAGGCTGAGGCAGGAGGATCACTAGGCCTGAGCTACAAAGTGAGCTCAAGGTGAGTGTGAACCACATAGTGAGACCTTGTCTCAAAAAGACCTAAAAAAAAAGAATTTGCCTGGTTGAAATGACACCTGCCCCAAGCGACACTCGCAGTGGTATGGAAAAAACATGTTGGCAGACTTGGGCAGTGGCCATTGTTCTCATTTATAAAAGTTCAGTTAATTTTTTAGCATAATTGCTTATTCCTTCAGTTCTTTGTGAAGAGCAACATTGTTGCTTTGGTATATGTGGAAAAGTCAGATGCAAAGATACGCTCAATACTTTTTGCAGAACTGTGTCCTACTTTCCATTTGTATAAATACATATTTATGTGTGTGTGCATTGATTGCCATCTCAGGGCAATATTCCGTTTACCCTAAATTTTTGTTCCATATACATTTCTTACAAATAAAAAATGTGTTATTAAAATAAATGTGATCTATTGTTACCCCTTTAAACTTTAAATTTTTATTTTTATAGGTAATTCAGTGTTCTTTAATAAATAAATGCTTTTTCCTTAATATATCTGTCCTGAAGAGTACTTCATATTAGGATATAAAACTGTGTTGTCCTTTTGGGGGATTATTGAGACAGGGTCTCACTGTGTAGTTCAGGCTAGCCTTGAGCTCATGGTGATCCTCCTGCCTCAGCCTCCCCAGTGCTGGGATTAAAGGTGGGGGCCACCATGCCTAGTGGCTGTCTTGTTCTTTTATTTATTTCTTTATCTATTCATTTATTGCCTCTTTTGAGATAGGGTCTCATTACGCAGTTCATGCTGGCTTTGAGCTCATTTTGTAGCTGAGACTGGCCTGAAACTCGCAACGATCCTCCTGCCTCAGCCTCCCAAGTGGTGGGATTACAGGCTTGTGCCACCATGCCTGGCTTGTCTTGTTCTTTTAAACAGTGGGCGGATGTTCTTACCTAAGGAGTATATGTTAATTGATCTATTGTAGATGAAGAGTTCAGGTTTAGGCTGGGGATGTAGCCCAGCACTACGAGAAAGGAAAGTTCCGATTATGTCCAATCATTTTCTCGTTAATACTCCAGTTAGTGTTCTTTTATATAATTCTTTTGGTAGCAGTAATAGCTATAGGATTAACCAATTTGTATCTAAAAGTAGGTTGTCTCTTTACTGTGTTGGTTGTTTATTTTCTGTGTAGAAGCTTTTTAATTTAATATCTTATTTAATGAGTCTTTTTTTTGTTTTGTTTTTTTTTGAGACAATGTCTTGCCCTGTAGCTCAGGCTGGCTGAAACTCCTGGCAGTTCTCCTTTCTCAGCCTCCTGAGTGTTAGAATAATTACAGGCATGTGCCATCACATCTGGCATTGGTCCTGATTTTAGAGGAAAAGCTTTCAGATTTGTTCCATTTAATATGATACTGGCAGTAGGTTTGTCACAAATACCTTTTGTCAGATTAAGAGATGATCGTTCTTACCTATTTTCTTCAGGGTGTTTTTATCGTGTGATTTTTGTCCTTGTTTCTGTGTTTGTGCTATATGACATTCATTTGTATATATTGGACCTTCCTTGAATCTCTGAGATGAAGCCTACTTTGTCACGATATAAGGTCTTTTTAATGATTTGATGCATTCTGTTTACCAGTATCTTGTTGAAAATTTTTGCATATATGTTCATTAAGAGATTGCCTGTAGTTTTCTTCTTTGGTTGCTCCCTTGTCTGGGTTTGGAATCAGGGTAATGGTAGCTTCCAGGAATGACTGGGAGTACTCCTCATCTTTTGCTGTCATTAGAGTGTGAGGAATATTGACGTTAGATATACCCTGAAATTCTTAGACAATTCAGCAGTGAATCCATCATGACTTGGGCTTTTCTTAATTGGTAATTTTCTTTCATTATTGCTTCAGTTTCATTATTTTGTATTGGCTTATTCAAGGTTTTTATATCTTCTTGGTTCTGTTTTGGTAATTCATGTGTATCTAGAAATCTATACATTTCTTCTGACTTCTCCAGTTCACTGCTGTAGAGGTTTGAGAAGTAGTTGCTAATAATCTGACTTATAGCAGTATTCATTGTGATTT